TGCTCACACTGCCAAGCAGCAGAGATGGCAGCTCAAGCCTCAGCAGGGCTCAGGCCCAAGGGCACAGCAATTACCTCCTGGGGCTGTGCCTGGCACAGCCTCCCTTCCTGCAGCAGAGGCTGCCCGTGAGCCACTGCTTCCTCCAGGAAACGCTGCCTTCAGCACAGCCTTTTGGTCCTTCTCTGAAAAAAATGAATTGTACACCTGAATCAGATGGAAACTTTCCCCACTGGGGAGGTGGCATCTTCATAAGGCAATGCTTATCAAAGGAAATCATATAAACTTTTGGGATTGGCCAGCTCCCTCCTTTCTCCAAAAAAACACCATTTCTGGTCCACCCTGAGACTGGAAAAGTGCAGAAGATCTCAGGGTGGGCATGGCCAGTGGTGCAGTTTGGGATCCCTGTCAGCTGATGCCAGATGCCTTCCTGCAGAGGCTGGGGAGAAGCTGCAGCCAGGCCAAGCTGGGAAACAGCCCTGCAGGCCATGAAAGCAGCAGCGAGGCTGCCATGGATCCCTTCCCGCTGTGTTGGGCACTGCATGTCCAGATGCGCAGAGGAAGTCTCCAGCTGCTGAGTCTCTGGAAAGGTTGAGGGACATGGACCCACCTTTAGCTCCCTGCCTTCAGCATTTGCCTCATGGGTTTGGATGGCTCATGGGGTTTCATAACTCCTGTAGCTTTGTTCCTCCCCCTCAGAGGACCTTGACAGCAAGTAGATCCATTTCTCAGGAATGGACCCCAGAAAAGCAATGTGGGGTCAGCAGGGACACACCACTCACCCCTGCCATGGGCGCTGGGCTTGTGTGCAGTAACCAACCCAGGAGCTGGGAGAGCCCTCCCTGCAGACACACCTGTAACTCAACAGCCACAGAAGCTTCTGTCATCGCTGCCAGCTGGACAAGCTTTAAGGTTCTGAGCTGGCAGCTTTCCCAGGGGGAAAGGCCTTGACCTACCCTCACCATCTCCCAAGGGCTGAGTCCTGGACATGGGTTGGGAAGCTGGATCGCCTTCATCAATAGGTTCAGCTGCAAGGAAAGGCAGGACAGAACAGGTCCTGGACAGTGCTCATGATTGTCCTTCAGGTTGGAGTGGCAGTGAGTGCCACCTGGCTGATTGCTGCCCTCCAAGGCACTCCCTCATCTCTGCCTTCCACCCAGGAGCAGGGGCAGGGAGAACACCTGCCTGCAGTTGCCCCACACCGTGATGAAAGAAGCTTCTTGGATGGCAGTCAGGGGAGAAAGGGCTCCCTGGAACTGCCATCAGCTCTGAACTGAGCCCCAGGCAGGGCCAGGGCTTGGCAGCGACAGCTCAGGCTCCCTGGGGCTGGCAAAGGAGCCACACAAGGCACAGTCCCGAGGCACAGCCCTGGGCCCGGCCCCTTCCCTCTCTGCTCTTCTCCATGGCTGCACAGAGCACAGGGAAGGAGACACTGGCATTGCACATGGGAAGAAGATTGACAGCTAAATGCTCCTTCCTCCCACTGACAGCAATCCTGTGGGATCACTAAGGGCTCCAGAAGAGAGCAGGGCAACTTTTCCAGAATCCATCAAGCCTGAGATTATGTTAAGAGATAATGGCACACGAGGGAGCTCTTGCTACACTGACACCCATTATTCTATCAGGAAAGGCACATTGAGAACTTGCCTCCAGCATTCTCCAAGCGTTTCAAGCCATTATCCAAGAGGGCATCCAGATAATGCAAGTTACGATCCCAATATAGAAGGGAGCACAGATCAGAACCATTCCATGGTGAGCTGGGATCCCCTTCTGTTTTAGGGAACTGGGCACTGCAAGGGGGTCAGGTAAGGCTGTGGGAGCCAGATGTCAATGGACATGGCCAAAGCTGCAGAGAGGCCTGGATAGCTCTGGGCTGGCTCTGGTCACTCTCCACCCTCTTTGCAGGCCCTGTACAACATCCGTGGAGAGGCAGCAGGACCAGCCCAGGGCCCGTGAGGCCTCTCTCCCTCCCACAGAGTAAACCCTCTCTTAAGCCCTGGGGAAAACCATCCCCAACACTTCCCAGGGAGAAGGGAGCACTGCCCGAGGAAAGGGAAGCCAGGCCGCTGGCTCACCTGCTCGCCCTGCTCGCTGTGGAGCAGCCTGGGCAGCCCTGTCAGGCAGGGCCACTGCCAGGAGGAGCAGGAGGAAGAGGCGCAGAGCAAAGGCCATGGTGCCTTGCCCACTGCCAGTCCTGCAGCTCTTGCTGCCACCACTGTCCTGACACCGCTGTCCCAATGTCAGCACCGCTGCTGCCGCCGCCGCTGCTGCCACAACAGTCGTGGTCAAGGACTGACTGCTCGCTCCTTGTGGTGCTGTGCAACCACGGGGCTCTGGCACCTCTGTGACCTCAGAGCCTGCTGTCACCTCAGCCTGCTGTCACCCCACAGGCTGCTGTGACCTCATGGCCA